CGAATAATTTTAAGCCAGATCAGCCGTTGCTTTAGCGTTCAACAATTTCATTCTACGAGGCGCATGCTATCCGTGTAAGGAAAATAACTTATTACTCTATGCCTTTAAGAAGATACCATATAGATTTCATGAAATTTGGAGGACTACCTTATGCATTTCATTAAGAGCAATGGAGGCCAGAAAAATACGATGCTGCATGCACGGTCTTACAAATCGTATGATTAAAAAATTTTTAAAAACGAAAATATACACTGTATTTAGGCAAAAAATGTAAAGTCGCCGTGATTTGCCACGGAATAAGTAGAAAAAAAGCATATTTTGTGCATAGTTTCTATAACATATATTTGAATTTATAAGACCATCGAAAATCATTTCGAAAAATGCATGCTACATAAATAGTCCTTTTTTCCGAGTTTGGGTTCTGCAGGCGATCGAAAAGAAATGCATTCAAAAGCCAACATCCTGGCGAGTCCGACATATTACTGGATTATGCGGCATGGTAATCAGTGTTACAATCCCACCTAAGTAATCCTTCCAAATCGAAAACGCATTTCAGAATTTCGGACAACATTTCATGTGGTCGGTCACTTACTGAAATTTACGCGCAAGTCACCATTGCTGAGACGACTTCGTGGGACATACGACAGACATCGTCACCCGCAGCGACCGAACTCTTATAGTTTCGCGGCTGTATTACGTCCCCTTAATCCACTAACTTGTCTGTCAGCACTGAGAAGTACAATCCGGTAATTAGCCTGATCTGGTCGAATCTACCTCCGCATGCCAAACGATGTCTCTTCTCGCTGTTCACTTGGGTATGCATATGGTCGCCACCAAGTTACTTAATTAGCGCACATGAAACCCAAACTGTGTGCCTATACTTCACTTCCCACCCACGGTTTCATCGTTGACCGCGCGTACTTCAGGTTATTTCACACTCAAAAGATGCCAATAGCGGCTTCTAGACCGCGTCGCCCTGTCTGATAGAAGTACTGCGATTCCTTGGCAAATGAAAGGCCTGCGTATTCTCACATAACCAATCGACTCCCTAACCCTGCCAACTGACACCCGATCGAATACACCGATCGCCGCAATCCGCCGATCAGAACCTACAGACCATCAGCGTGTGAATGGTGGCGTACAGTGTGGTGGTGCAATAAAAGGTGGAGTTCGTGGCGCTCACGACAATTTTTCGCAGTTGATCTGGTCGCTACGACTGAAATGTCGATCCCACAAACACACACCTTCGAAGATGAATTTCCCCTGATTCGCAGCTGCCCTACACTGAATGAAATTCGCCTAGCTGGGGAGATTAAAGACCTGACAATAGAGGTAGCTTCGCTTGCTGTTACTGCTCTCTACACGTACATTTCTATGCATTAGGTAAAGAACGGCGAGGTTCTCCATGCTCACCGAATAATACTAGCAGCTCGCATTCCTTCCTTGCGAGCCACGCTCACTGGTCCCCTCGGGGAGGCCAATTCGGTCCTAAGATTGCGGACAGTGCCTCTCAGGTAAAACCCCCGTGCCTACTCTTTATGCACGTTTCAGCCTCGCAACTGCGCTCATTAGTTATGTGTACACCGGTAAAATGGAGATGACGCCAGCAAATATGATGGGCATGGTTGCGTTCGCAAAAATGCTGAAGATTTCTGCTGTCGAGAATTGGGGAGCGAATTTATTAGCCGGCAGGTAAGCATTTCCCAGTTATTCCTCCCTAACCGTCCGCTATAAAGTGTCACTTTAGAAAATCTGGCAACCACTTGGGATTTTGCGAAGTCATTAAATATTGGACTACTGATGGAGGCTTGCATTACTCTAATGGAGACTCAATTTATTCGTTTCGTATCTTGTGACCTCTTTGTACGTTTGCCAGGCGATACGGTGCTCTCACTGGTGCGAAGCGAAGACTTGTCAGTTGACTCTGAATAACAAGTGTTTGAAGCTATTTCATGTTGGGTTTGTCCCGGTGGAGTGGTTGATGAGGAGAGGCTGAGGACATACGCTCCGAAGATGCTGAAAGAGGTCCAGTGGCATCAGACCACTGCTCAGTTCCGTGAGCACTTGCTGGATAATCATCCGATATACCAGACCAACATCGAATGTGCGTAAGTACATGCCATTTAAATGCATAATGATTCTGTTTAAGTCGACAAATGGCTGCAGTGGAGCAGTGGATTGGCGCTGCCGCCACGCGTAGGAGGATGTGCCCCTTCAATCAACATAGCCGCAACGGGAGAACGCCTCAGATTATTTTCGTATTCGGAAGGGATAAAGATCAAGACAGATGGTCGGTTCGGCGTTTCGATTCAGAGTTGCAGAATGAAGAAAGAGTTGCTGACATGGAACTGCGTCGTAAAGCCACTTACAGTGTCGCGGGCGGTAAGTCGACTGACGTACTCTTACCTAACCCTGCACGCTGCCCAGTACACGTTAGTGAACCTTAGTCGTCGTCTTTGACACCCCCCTCCACCCCCCAGTATCATCGCGCACAGACTGCTTCATGTTTTCGCAAGTACCTACCCTCCTCAGCATATTTTTAAACTGGAGCAGTTTATGCCTATATTCACAATCATAGCACACTTTAGTCGCAATGTTATATCATCGCATAGGGCAGAGAACTCTACTAACTGTGAAGTCGAAATCTCACGTGAGGAATTTGATGCTTATTTGAGTTCCCTGAGATTTCCGCTGAGTACGCTGGAACACCAGATGGTTTTGTTCAAATGCATTTCTGAGTAGATGAAACAATTGAAAGTCCTTAGAAATATTATAGGAATGAACGCAGTCGATTCCATGAGGGCTTTTTAGTGGGGACATTCTTCAACTTTACTTCCACTGTTGGACGGCCAAATAAGTGCTCGTTTCTGTTAGCAAGTAAATAAGAATATTTTGGTCGATATTGGATGATGCTCAATGGTGGAACAACACTATGGCC